TCATCTAACTGTTGACAATTAAATTAAAGTTTCACAACTATAAAATAAATATTTTTATTTACTTTTTTAATACACTCTAAGAAGGTTAATTTCTATCAAGTTTATTATAGATTTATTTCAATTTTATTAAACTCATATATATGTCATAACATTAACTTATCACTTTTTATTAATTTTGAATTATTATGCATCAAAGCTACAACTAAAAGAAAATAACATTAACATTTTTTTAAGTCACAAATAGTTTTTAATGTAAGAAATTTTATTTGCTCAGGTGAACAATCTAGATGGGGACATAACTTCTTAATTATTTATGATTTGTAAAATTTTCATGTTAGCTAAATGTAAACCTATCAAATGCCCTACATTAGAAGTTAGAGATGAAATATCTCTTGTACAAGGTTCGAAACCTTGACAGATTCCGCAATAAATTACTACAATTTAGCCAGATTCTGCAATTTAGCCAGATTTAAGCGATACAAATTTAAATATTATAACTGAAAAGAGTCCTTACTTTAGATTGTATATATAAATATCAAATAAAATTATTACCACATTATTGTTGTATTTGGTTAACAGATAGGACCAAGTCCTCATTATTTTAAAGTTCTAATTCACCAAAATCAAACAAACGAGACACCGAAATATCTTTCACCTTTAGCGTCAATAAACCAAACTCGAAAACACATCACTCAATGGAACAAAAGGCCACTAGTGATAATCTTGCAAATGCACTACTTTTTTCGAGCATTGTGCATAGAAACATAGCACTCTTCGAAGTCCTTTGCAAGTCCAGGGCTCCAGTACAAGCCAACATCTATGATTGGATCATAATGTTACCCATTCAACATGTAAAAGAACAACTCTCTCCAACGCATTCCCACATCACATTCACGAATTCGTTCGAGAGACTAGTAAATTTCCTACCCACCACAACCTTAAGTGTTTTAGGATGTCACCATATGTTAAAGCCTTTCACAAAATACCAAATTAAAGTCACAAGTTCTACTATATGTAAAAACATATCCATATAAACGTGACTAATCATTATTTCCGTATATAGTTATCTTACCGCGAGAGGGATTGGAGGGAGAATATGGAAAGTGAGTGTTTCCAAGTTCGGGCAATTATCGAGAAGGATCTTAATTCCCTCAAACTCCTTCAGATGCACCTTCTTTTCATCACCAAGTGTTGTGTTTCCACCGCACAAAGCAAATAGACAGGATTTGTTTTATTTTCTTTAAACAAAACACACACATGTTCCAATCGATATTATTGTCTAAGAGTCTAATAATGTCTATATATATTATGTACTCTATTTTTAAAGACTTTGCATTTCAAAACTACATATTAATCCAACATATCCATAATTCTATACGCCAAAATTAATCAATAACATATCGCGAAAATGTTATCTTCTTAGAATTGATGTAAATAGACAAAAACTACTTGTGTGATTGCGCTTAAAGAACCACTCATAAAGAATTAAACAGTGTGTTGTAACGGAATATTTTGTTCAAACCACCAAGAGTTTCTTGTAAAAGACAAACCTGAAGGAGATAATGGCAGACCATTAAGGTCTTAGCAGACGGAAGGTCGTTAAGAAGATAATAAAGAACCTATCCTTCTACTATGGTTGATCTGCATGGTTCATCATATTCAGCCTTTAACCCAAAATCCAAGTTTACTTTCTTTCATCATACTGTTTATTGTGATGATATAAAGGGTGATAACATGTCATGAATACTTGAAGATCTCAACTTTAGGCAAGTCAAAGAAACAAGTCATGACCCCATGGAAGCTAGAGTTCTTGAATACAAAGTGTCTCATTTTCCCGATATCGTCATGTAAACAAGTCCCCAGCAACAACAGCTCATACTTTGACTCTCGAGCAAATGTGCCTTTGACATGAAATATTCGACCGTTGTGAGTCTGATCCAACCGATAGAGATAGAATTCTCATCATCCGCGTGTTTACGAGATTAGAGCGTACAAACCCGCAGGCGTAAATCTTCAATGACTCGAGTCACTCGAGGGTCATTAGATTGTAGACACATGCCGGCAACTAAACAACAACGTCATTCATTGATGCATCACTATAAGTTCTCTAAGAAGGGTTTGAGAAATCAAGAACTAGATTCTTTACTCTTTTGGATACGACGAATTCCGATCAGGGACTCCATTTCAACAACAAAGCCCACTGGATATCTCCAGTGATAAATGAAACAATGGGTTTCTAGATTTCAGGGTCAAGTCAGTGAAAGTTTCGAGATTTGTCTCTTCAATCCATAGGGCTTTGTTGCTGAAATGGTGTCCATGATCAAATTCACCGTATCCAAAAGAGTAAAGAATCTATAGTTCTTGATTTCTCAAACCCTGCTTGGAGAACTTATAGTGATGCATCAGTGAAATACGTTGTTCTTCAGTTGCCCGCATGCGTCTACAATCTAAGGACCCTCGAGTCATTGAAGATTTACGCGTGGGGGTTTGCACCCTCTAGTCTCGTAAACATGGGGATATTAAGAAGCCTAACTGTCGATTGGTCAAACTCACAACGCTCGAATCTTTGATATCAAAAGCTCCTTTGCTCGAGAGTCTAAGTATGTGTTAGTGCTTGGGACTTGATTACACGACGATATCGAGAAAAATGAGACAATTTGTATTCGAGAACTATAGCTTCCATAGGGTCATGACTTATTCCTTCGACTTGCCTGAGATCTTCAAGTACTCGAGACATGTTATTACCCTTCATATCTTCACAATATCAGTATGATGAAAGAAGCATACTTGGGTTCCGGGTTAGAGGCTGAATATGATGAACCGTGCAGATCAACCATAGTAAAAGGACAAGTTTTTTCTTATCTTCTTAACGACCTTCGATCTACTAAGACATTAACGGTCTACCCTTATCTCCTCCATGTATACCTTTAAAAAAACTCATTGTAGTTTGAACAACATATTCTGTTAGGACACACTATTTATTTTCTTATGCGTGGTACTTGAAGCGCAATCACAACTAGTATTTCTAGTCTATTTACATCAATTTTAACAAGATAATATACCAGTGATATGGTATAGTAATTAATTTTGGCGTAGAGAATTAAGGATAGGTTGAATACGTGAATGATTCTGAAATGCAAATTTTTTTAAAATTTGAGTACATAACACCCTTAAGTTGTTATGTTCCATTGTTGTACATATAGATATTAGATTGTTAGACATTAATCTTTTTTGGAACATGTGTGTTTCTTTCATTTTTGGAAGGCTATCCAAGAATGTGAAGATCCGATCTATTTGCTTCGTGTGGTGGAAACACAACACTTGGTGCTGAAAGCGAAGCTGCAGCCGAAGGAGTTTGAGGGAATTGGTATAATTCTCTATGATTGCCCCAACTTGGAAACACTCACTTTCGATATTCTACCTCCAAACCCTTTCGGGGTAAGATTACTATATAAAAATAATGACTTATCACATTACTATATATGGATTATTATTTTTTTACAAAAAGTAAAAGTCATGACTTTAATTTGGTATTTCGCGAAAGGCTTCAACATATGGTGACATCAATCCAAGAAC